GGGGGGGGGGGGGGGGGGGGGAAGAGCGCGGCAGATCGGCGGCCACAGGAGAACGGGGCACAAAAGGACATACGCGGGAGGCGGGAGCATTGGCGCGGGTCAGTGTCCGAAGGATGGGCCGCGTCAAGGGGGGACACAGGCCAGGGCGCGAGGCAGGAACGGCAACCAAAAGACGACCAACCGCCGCACGCACTTCTGGTCGGCCAGCTGGATGGCGTGCTCCATCATCTGGAAGACATTCTTTTCCAGGGACTGATTCAGCTTCTCCACCAGATAGTCCAATAGGCCGAGCTTGGCCGAGGACTTGATGAGCGATCGGATGCGCGCACGCAGAGGGCAACTGATCCACCAGTCAAACTCGGTGGCTAGACCGGGTCCAGGGGCGGGAGGAGGGGGGCGGGATGCAGGGCGAAAGGGTGAGCCAGCGCCGATGCGGCCAGCCGGGAGACCAGCGGCCAAGGTAGGCAGGGAGGGAGGAGCAGGGCAAGCGGGGCGCGGGGGGACGGCATGGGGAGGCGCGCACCGGCCGGGTCATGGGCGCGGCCCAGCTGGCGGAAGGCCGCGGAGTTGGTCGCCTGCGAGGTGTCCGGCGTGGCCTGGTATTCACTGAGGAGCTGCCGCGCGGAGGCCTCGATGGCAGCCACCGAGGCGTCATGCACACTCGGGGCCAGGTCGATGACGGCGCATTCCCCAAAAAGGATGGCATCGATGTCCTCCTCTTCGTCGGCCGGCGCCGGGGCCGGTCCCGCGCCGGCCGAGGGGAGGACCGCCCCGCGCGGGGCATCCGGCCCGCCATCGGCCCGCTGCTGGTTCAGCATCTTCAGGACGCTGGCAAATTGCCGCGAGTGGCGCTTTTCCACGTCGTCGGTCAGGTGCGCGGCATTGCGCATCGGCGGGCCGGTGTCAAACTCGGCCCGGCCGATGGGCCGCCGGCGATCGGTGTCCCGGCCGCCGGCCGTGAGCCCATGCGACGCCGAGTAGAGGGCCGCCACATTGCGACCGCCGCGCGGCCCGCCGGCACCCCCGCCCGGGGCCATGATGCTATTGGTGCGCAGGAGGAGGCTGGTCCGGAACTCGGCGTCCACCCCGGGCGAGGAGGGGGCCGATCCGGCCGGCGAGCCGGCCGCCGATCCGGCCATCGCCCGCGCCGCCGACGAGGTGGACATGAAGGAGGCCAGGGCCGAGGTGGTGGCCACCTCGGCATCCAGGAGGGCCGCCTCCCGCGTGGCGCACTCGGCGAAGAACTGCATCGCCTCCTCGCTGGTGGTGCGGTCCGTCAAGAAGAGAATGCCCATCAACTCCTCGAGGATGGTGTTGAAGAGGTCCTGCAATGAGGCCGGAGGGAGAGATCGTCGAGGGGGGGGGGGGGGGGCGCACGGGCCGGCGCCCGGGGAAGGGACCATGGCCGAGGGCCGGTCAGCACATGAGGAAGGGCCGAGGCCTGGGCGGCCTGGCGCTGAAGAGGGGGGCGGGGGGCCGGAGAACGAACCGAGGACAGCACACCCAGCGACGAATGGAGCTTCTGCAGGGCCGTCAGCTCGGAGAATTCGTCGGAGCTGGTCTGGTTAAGGGCAATGTGCAGGACGTCGGCCGCGGCCACAATTTGCCGGGCATCCATCAGGCGCTGGATGTACGCCGGGGTGCGCTGGATGATGCGCCTGTCAAGGGCAGCGGCGGGGCAGGAGCGGGACAGCAG